CCTTGTGCTTGCTAGGCAGGCGCTCTACCACCTGAGCCACTTCCCAACCCACATGAAGAAATTAAAGTAAGAATCTTACTCATGTCATGGAAAAATACGTACAGGAGGGCTTGGGACGCAGCTCAGTGGCAGAGCGCCTCCCTAGCATGGCAAGCCCTGGGTTCCAATCCCAGCACCAAAAAAAGAAAGAGGGAAAGGGAAGGGAGAGGGAGGGAGGGAGGAAAAGAAAAACATGGATTTCATATATATACACACATGTATAAGTATATATGAGAAAGACTGGAGTGTAATAAGATAAAATATTTAATACTGCCCTTAGGAGATAAAATTAGAAATGATTTTTCCATAATTTAAAAAACTTCTACAACCTTTATAATTGTTTACGGGGAAACATTAAAAACATTGTTTCATTATCGATCCAGTGAACCACTACAGAGCTTTTCACACTTGTTTTTCACCCTTTCAGGAAGTAATTTCTGTAACACAATTTGAGATATTGACATAAAAGGATGCCTCTTGGCTTATAATCACATAAAAGAATATATTTTAACAAAATACTTTAAAAATCACTAAATTACTGGAAAATTAGAGGTATCATAATTAAGGCATAGCTACGTATACTATAAAACACTGCCATCCGGGGTTACATTAAAATCTCAAATGTGCATTTTTAGTATATTGTAAATTAGAACGGACGACCACTTGGCGGGGATACACATCTAGATTTCAATCAGAAGCTTCCGTTCAATCGCCATAGGGCAGACACTATTCAAGCTAAGTCCCAACATACATTTACATCCTCCAGTTTCTTTGAGCCAAAAGTGCTTTAAAGTAATACTAGATTAGGTTTCTAGGCAATGTGACTGAAAGTTCAAGGTTAATATCGTAAACAAAACCTCGAGCTACGGATGTGAAAGAGACAGCGTTTGCAGGCTTACCGAGGAGAGCTCATCACAGCCCAGCAACGAGTAGTAATCCTCGGCGGCTTCCGACCTGTAATTCAGGATCGCGTCCATTTGGATCAGAAATCAACTTCTCGTCTCTCAAGAACAAGACCCACGGGCAGCTTCAAGTGGACAGGGAACAAACTCTCAAACCCGGACGGCAGCAGCCTGTCGCGACCGCAGAGCTGTGCGGCGCTCCCTGGTTGGCGGCGGGCGGGGGCGCGGCCGGGCACGTGCCGGGGGCGCGTGGCGGGGCTCCTGGGACCTGCAGTCTGCATTGATGAAGTGGCGTCATCTCCCCATCCCCTGTATGTTTTTTCTCTTTAAGAGACAGAAGAAAACATGAAGCAATTGCAGTAAAATGTTAGGATTTCGTAAACATGAGTCGTGAACACTTTCCTGAGTGTTTAAAATATTTTGTAATTTTTTTTTTTGGGTGAGGGCGGCTGGGGAGTATAGCTTACTGGTAGAGAACACGCCTACCTTGCCCCAAGCCCTGAGTTGGGTCTCCAGCACAAAGAGAAAAAAGAAAAGGAAAGGAAAGGGAAGGGAAAGGAAAAAGAAAAATTATAAATTTAAAACCCGTGTGACAAGACGGAAGGTGAGGCTCCAGCGGTAAAGCTCCACTTTGCAAGCATGAAGCCCTAAGTTCAAACCCCAGCTCCACCTAAATAAATAACAGTTTAGTAGTAGAAGGAAATAAACTAGGATAGCAAGTTCTCATTTGTTTGGTAACCTATTCATTCAATAAATATCTATTGAGGGCCTGTTTTTATGCTCAAAGTCTTGATTCTTGTGAACCAAAAAAAAAAAATTTTTTTTTTCCTGTGCTGGGGAATAGAGCAGGCCTTACACACGCTAGGCAAGGACTATAGCACTGAGCACAGCAATCCCCAACTCCTATAGCTTTCCTTATAATGAAGGAAGACAAAATAGAGGCATGCACAGAAACAGGACCATTTAAGATAGTGTTTTGCACTACATGGAAAATAAAACAGGACCGTGAAAGGAAACAGTATGCTAACCCAGGTCAGCTTGCTGTGCCATTTCAGACTCACGTGCCTGGCCTAGGGTGTGTCTAGAGAATCTCTTCCAGTTCATTTTGCCCCCAGGAAATGCAGCTCAGATCTGTACTGTAGAGGTGAGTGGTCACACATACAGCACTTTAACTGCCTTGGTAATTTAAACATCCTGGTAAATTATAACCTTAGGACAAAAAATATGTTTTCCTCTAGCCCACGTGTACAAATCTTTTGAAAGACTTATTTTTACAGAGAAGCAAGAGAAAGCACTGAAGCATCATTGATACTAACCCTTCACTATCACTTTTTCTTGATAAAAGTTCTGAATGGAATTTTTAAGATCACGGACAATTAATTTTGTTTTGGAAAAATTTTTGTGTCTTGTTGTTTTGTTTTTTTGAGACAAAGTCTCACTATTTAGCCCTGGCTGGACTTGAACTACCATACCATCCTCCTGCCTCAGCCTCCCAAGTGCTGGTATCAAAGGTATGACCCGCCATGCTGGCTTATGTTTTAGAAATTTTACCACCCCTTTGAGGGGTTTGGAGGTCTGCTTGAGTATTATAAAATCTTGATCAGAATCACCAATGAGGATCCTTTAAATGATGTGACATTGCCACTTTGGAAAATAGTATAGTGGTTCCCAGAATAACATAGAGCTACTATGTGATTCAACCATTCATTATTTATTGATTTATTCATTCATTTATTTATTTATTTTTGGTGGGACTGGGGTTTGAACTCCAGGCTTTGTGCTTGTAAAGCAGATGCTCTACTGCTTGAGCCACATCTTCAGTCTGTTTTGTTCTGGTTATTTTGGAGATGAGGTCTCAAACTATTTGCCCCAGCTGGCCTCAAACCATGATCCTCCTGATCTCAGCCTCAAAAGTTGTTAGGATTATAGCCACGATGCCTGGTGGCTCTAGCCATTTCTGGATATATGTACAAAAGAATTGAAAACAGGAACTCAAAAACACATTTATATAACTTAAGTTCATCTCAGCAGTAGTCACAATAGACAAAAGATGGAGGCAATCTAAATGTCAACCAATGGATGAATAAACAGAATATAGAGGGGCTGGAGGTATAGCTCAGTGGTGGGTGCTTATTTAGCATGTACAAGACCCTGGGTTAAATGCCCAGCACCAATATGTGTAATACACACAATGAAATACTATTCAATCTTAAAGGTTTTCTTACTTTTTTCCTACCTCCCTCCCCCACTCCCTCTCTCTTTCTTTCTTTCTGGCACTGGGGTTTGAACTCAGGGCCTCACACTTGCTAGGCAGGTGCTCTACCACTTGAGCTATGCACCCAGCCCTTACTCAACTTAAAAAGGAAAGAAATTCTGACACATGGTCCTGCATGGATGAATGCCGAAGACATTATGTTAAGTGAAATAAGCCAGTCACAAAGACGAATATCACATGCTTCACATGAAGACCAGTGGAACAGAATAGAGGACCCAGATATGAATCCACACAACTATACCCACCTTATATTTGACAAAGGGGCCAAAAATATGAGATGGAAAAAAGACAGCGTCTTCAACAAATGCTGCAGGGAAAAGTGGTTATCCATCTGCAAGAAACTAAAACTAGATCCATGTCTATCACCCTGTACCAGTATCAACTCGAAATGGATCAAGGACCTTAATATCATACCCAAAACACTGAAGTTAGTACAGGAAGGAGCAGGAAACACTCTGGAAGTAATAGGTATAGGCAAGGATTTCCTCAATAGAACCCCAGCAGCCCAGCAACTAAGAGAAAGGATGGACAAATGGGACTTCATAAAATTAAAAAAGCTACAAAAAAAATGGTCTCTAAACTAAAGAGACCACCCACAGAGTGGGAGAAAATATTTGCTACCTATATGTCAGACAAAGGACTGATAATCAGAATATAGAGGGAACTTAAGAAACTAAACTCTCCCAAAATCAATGAACCAATTAAGAAATGGGTAACTCAACTAAATAGAACTTTCTCAAAAGAAGAAATTCAAATGTCCAAAACACACATGAAAAAATGCTCACCATCTCTAGCCATAAAGGAAATGCAAATCAAAACCACACTAAGATTCCACCTCACCCTTGTTAGAACAGCCATCATCAAAAACACCACCAACAATAGGTGTTGGTGAGGATGTGGGGAAAAAGGAAACCTAGTACACTTCTGGTGGGAATGCAAGCTGGTACAACCACTCTGGAAAAAAATTTGGA